TTAATACTGATGCGAGGTGGCCTGAATTATGTGTCCGGGAGTGTATACTTATTTGTGCCATTAATCTACTAACATCTATTTTTCCTTTTTCTGTCTTAGTGACAACACAAAACAAGGCATCATATTTCACACCACAACGCTCTAAAAATAACTTACGTATTGTCTTTAATAACAAACCGTATTCATCTAAGTTATCACTTTAGTTCATAGCGGATGCGCTGCTGTAACAATGAGCTGAGTAATGGTTGTGTGATTTCATGGATGACAGTATTGACAATTGTAGTTTTTTTATAAACACGATCGCGTTTACAAAACAAAATGCAAGACGACTGTGGAACAATGCTACGTTGATAAATACTTTCGCGCTGAAGTACTGTGGTAATATTTATAATAATGTTGGCTGTATTGGTATGCACCATTTTCAATGTATTAGCGTCACGGTATAATTATGAAAATATAGTATAAGTTAGATAGATATATAGATAAATGCTTTATCCTTCGTATACCCGTGCTTTGGTCTCTCAGACCGACGATTATCGTTTGCCGTGTTTTTTTCTGCAACGGAAAACGTTAGAGCCTTGGGTTTACTGCTAGCTGCATGGTTCGTGGCTAAGTTCATTTTAGCGTAACAGGAGTATTTGTGCATACAACACGTGTACTCATATACGATACCGATCGGTCCCTATAAATTCCTATAGATATGCATTATTTTTAATTATAATTGAGTTTACATTATGTACTATATTTGTAAATTATTTTAGGTTATATTTTATTACCTATTACATGTATGAGGAACGCATGAGAAGGTTTTTGGAAGAGGATGACTCCGATTCCAACTATGAGGGTGAAAATATCAGTGATTTTCAGGAACATATAGAAGCGCAGCAAGTATATATAGTTCTGAAAGTGAGGAAAAGATTCTAGATTACTATCTAGGCCAAGATAGTCAAATTTAATGTAATAAAATTGCTCCATCGATGACAGTGAGAAGTATTTCTGAGCAAGATATATTTTTGTATGCAACATGCTATTTAGTTTATGGTTTTAAAATTTTATTTATTATTCTTTAACATTTGAGATTTTGTTTTATTTTGATACTATAAAAAGCAAATTTTTGTTCAAGTCTTTGAAGCTCCTAGAAATATTGTAACTTACCTCTGGCTGTAATAAAACACTGCTTATCTCTAATAAAAATAAATTGTATAAAACCGTGTTTGATATTACATTACATATTCCCGTCTAATATAAAACGTAATTGTATGATAATATTCGAACGAAATGTACAATGTTCTGAGAATAAGCAATCTTGCCTTTGTTCTACGGATGAGTCGAAATATCCTTACCACGAACAGATGCCGACGAATAAAACAGTACAAAACCTTTTTTACAAAGTGGCTAAAATCAAGTTTGATGATAATGATGATATTTATTATATTTATTACATTATTACACTTTTTGTGTTTGTAAACTAACATCCTTAATAACTATGTCAATACAGTAATGGCGGCTAAAACTCTAGCTAGTCAAAGAATTGCAAAACTTACGTGGACGGAACACAATGCTCGTTGAACAGATACCTATTTCTGCCGCCTACTTATGTCACAGGGTGTCGGGCACAGTGGCAGTGCCCCTCAGGTCTTTGCGATTTAAAGCTCTGAATGGCACTGCAACTGTTATGGACAGACGTGCAGCTTACCATCCCGTCATTGGATATTATAAAAAAAGATAACAGATGGACTCAAAGAGTTGTCGAGTGGCGACCGCGTACCGAAAGACGCAGCGTAGACAGACTACTCTCAAGGTGGACGCCGATTCCGACGCCGTTCACGCTGGTGAAGGTAGAAGGAATCAGTTGGATGCAAGCAGCATACGACCGATCGTTCGTTCGTTGTGGCGTTCTTTGGGAGAAGTCTTTAACTATGAATGATGAGGATGATGATGTTAGACAGTCACTGTTACAGAGAAACACTATCACCAATTA